TTACAATACTGCTAATGCGTTTGTTGATCAAAATAAAAATAATATTTATTGTTTTTATACGATTCAAATTCCTTGAATAGTTTCTCAACGTAACTAGAAGATTAAAAATTAAATATGAGAAAATAAAAATTCAGGTTTTTGTCCATTGGACGTTACACTGTGCGACGTCCTGAAAAACTACACCGTGATTCCCGACACAGTTTAAGGGAATCAGTCCTACGTTGTTTAGGCACAGTAGGCCTGACGGACTTCACATACCCCGGGAGGGATCTCGGGCTGCGTGGTTTTTTTGGCAGTGGACGGTCACCTACACAAGTAGCACGGTTGACGTTGCTTAACATTGCAAACTAAGTATTGCAAGCGCTTTAGCACGCTCGGCTAATATTATATATATATATATATATATATATATATATATATATAGAGAGAGAGAGAGAGAGAGAGAGAGTGAGAGAGAAGATCCCACCCATTTCGTAATACATGCAATTGTTTATTGCAATCATCAATTTATTTCATTTATTTCTTGTAATTATGTTTTAAGTTTATTCACTAATGTATATACATGTATATTGAAAAATTGTATTTTCATATTTTGTATTCTTTTCTGATTTACCCATTTTTATTTTATAAAGTTCTTTGTTGGAATGTTTGTGACTTTCCCTTCAGATTGATTAATTCTGGTTATTCGTTTCGATGATTTTTTGTAAGAGATTTGAGTATTGAATGGTAACTTCTGCATTTCCATTTATGAAAAGTTAATTGTAACCAATCGTTAGTAAAAAATAGCTATTGTTGTATTAATGCTAACATATTCTTATTTTTTTATGACTTCTGTGGTATTCTACTTTCTGTAGATATTTCCCAATATATAACCATCTAATTTTATAAAATATATCAGATATCAGTACAACGAAATGTACTATAGCTAACTTTTCTGTTAATGAAATTAAATCTGGATAATGTGTGTGAAGTATTTTATTAATAAAATGAAAATTGTAAGAAAAGATCGTGCAGACTCAACAGTACTAAGCATTGCGTTCGATGCCTATAGAAATGTCCTCTGTAGGAGGGATGAGCGTTTCAATCAATTGATCGGTGTTGTATTGTATAAAGTTTGCAACTGTTTCCTACTCGAATTGCCTCTCGCATTCACAAGGAGAGTTAGTTTGGCAAAGGTCAGAGGAAGTGGTTGGTATATTGAAAGGTTATTTCTCCGCCCTGTGAGCGTTCCATTATTGTGGCTTTCAATTGTCCTGTATCATGGTTACAGATTCAGCGTGCGTCTTGGTTAGTTAACTGCAGATTCATGCAATGTATTGGGTTGGCAAATAAGTCATTTCGGCTTTTCAGAGTTAAATAAAACTCAATGTATTATGGATATCAAATTTATTAGTTTTACAAAAAAAAAAAAAAAAAAAATACGTCTTCTTGCTTATTCCATTTATTTTTCACTTTTGCGCAACCGGTTTCGGCCTTTTATCAGACATTCATCAGGCTAGGTAAAATAATAAAATTAACAACAAAAATAAAAACTTTTGTAAATAATAATAAAACCTAATTTAAAATTTAACCATTTCAAATCAAATCTGAATAAATTATTCAATAAAGATGGTAATCAGGCAACTGATGGTGCTCCTCCTCTCCTGCTTGTTAAATGAGGACTAAAAAATAAAAATAAAACTATCGACCACATGGGTATTGTTTTCATTTGCCGCCGTTATATGTTCATAGAATGTATAGAGTTTATTTTTTAAAAACAGATCCATTTTTTTTTTTTTTTACGTCCTCTTCTTTGTCGAATTTCTTTATCTTTATGGAGTTCTGCAGAATCTTCCAATTTGCCAGTTCTGTGGATATCCTGTTTTTAATTTAATAGTTTAATAATAAGTGCTTTGCTGTTAGTACTTTTATGTTTATACTTTTTTTTTTTTAATGTTGGTCAATTCTTGTTCTTACCGTTTTAGAGATTTCTGAATTTGGAGGTATATTTCATTACATACAATCCAGTCTGTACTGTCTATATATATATATATATATATATATATATATATATATATATATATATATATATATATATATATATATATATATATATAAATTTATATTACATGCTAAACCCTAAATAAGGCATAGACAAAGTAGTCAAATTATATTACTACAATAATTTAAAATTTAGGATCTACAATAAAATTGAAATCATTAATCATCCAACAAATATGAGTGATAAAATTTACATTTTATAAAACGAAACATAATGTACAGATATATATATACATAATTTTTTTGAACTAAAAATTGTATTAAATATAATTTAATTTTACATGCTGCTGAACTTATGTTTCTTTTTTATTGTAGAAAAAATCTATTTTTCTTTTTTAGTTTTTTAAGTTATAAAGCCACACTTTTTTTTTTCAAACTTGGAAAGGCATATGTGTCACGTATGTTTGAACAAGTTATCCATCCATTTAATGACTTTGAGAAGATTTCACTGAAAAAAAAAAATAGTTGGCCATTTTCCTCTCAGAGAAGAGAGAAAACATATTAACAACTCTGGAGAGAGTCGAGGCGTTTGTCTCAATTATCTTCGGTCTAAAGGAAAAATCCAATTAGAAAGAACCCTAATTTTGGCCTAGGTCCTGCAATAAAAATTAAGATTTCTTACTCCTCATCCACGGAAAGGGATGAAGGGAGGGCTCAATTTAAAATTTTTATTATGCTTTAACCGCTTCTGCAATTTGATGATGGCGTGTCAAAAAGAATACTTAACCATTCTGCTCTTTCCCTCATATCGTATGTACTTAAACATCCTTTTAAAAATTATATTTCTGTATCCACATTTAATCTATCAATAACGTTTCTCTCCCTATTACTATTTTCAAATTTTTATTTAATATTTTAATTTTACCTACATATATATATATATATATATATATATATATATATATATATAGACCCTTCTGGGGCACAACCAACCTCTACAAAGTGGATACCGTTAATTAAATAATTGATTAAGGGAGAAAACCTGACGGTTGAGGTTGATCCTGGCCCGTTTCCTCCCATGCAAAACCGTTGGACTTGAAACAGTACTTTCCCTAAATAGTACTGAACCCAAGAACCTTCATGGGTTGTAGTGGTACAGTCATATATATATATATATATTTATATATATATATATATATATATATATATATATATATATATATATATATATATATATATATATAGTACCTATGGTATGATAATATAAAACAAATAATGAACTATAGATGACCTCGAGCATAGGAAGTTACCTTACCCCGCTCCTCTTTGTTAATAAATAAACTAAGATAATTTTAATTATCTACGTTAGAAAATTATTATTATTATTAAAATTAATATATGTTTGTTCTATTCTTCTATGAATAGCTATTATATAGGGTATCTTGTAAGTAGAGAGAAATTTCTATAGGAGTGATGGCAGACCTCAAAAAATACAAAAAAGTTAATATAAACAATAATCCAATTTTTAGCAGAAAAGAAGGAAATCTAAGTTTTCTATTTTTAAAAGAAAGTTATGTTTATTGTTGAATAGGAAGCGATAACAATAGAAATTTCCAATTTAAGTAATTAACAATTACTTCATTGTAAACTAGATAAAATTTACTTTAAACAAAAAAAGAGTTTTCCATTCTTGAAACCATTTAAAGAAGACATTTGAGCCACTAAACTAAGCTATGTTCTGTTTAAAAATTGCCTAAATACAATTTTCATATATATATATATATATATATATATAATATATATATACTTATATATATAGTTCCTATGCTATAACAATATAAAACAAATAATGAACTATAGATGACAATAGGAAGTTACCTTACCCCACTCCGCTTTGTTAATAAATAAACTAAGATAATTCTAATTATCTACGTTAGCAAATTATTATTATTATTAAAATTAATATATTTTTCTTACATATATATATATATATATATATTATATATATATATAATATATATATATAGTACCTATGATATAACAATATAAAACAAATAATGAACTATAGATGACCTCGAGCATAGGAAGTTACCTTACCCCGCTCCGCTTTGTTAATAAATAAACTAAGATAATTTTAATTATCTACGTTAGCAAATTATTATTATTATTAAAATTAATATATTTTTCTTACCTTCATCCGTTTAAAATATTAATGGTTTAAATATCCAGGGCTTTTAAAATTTGGAAGGAAACACATTGAATACATATCATTTTAATTATGAGAATAGGCCAATTCGATCGTTGGAAAGTTAACTGCTTACTTGTATGTTATAAACTCTTGTTTTTTTTTTAGTTTATATTTTATACTTATTAACGTTTCGGGCAACACTTCCCATCTTCAGAATCTTACTTCTTATCCTATATTTTATTTAAGATATATATCTTTAAAGTTAATTAATTTATTATTTTTAAATTCTTCTATCTTTTTTAAAAGACCTACTCGGAACACAATTTGTTCCGTGAAAGGAAACACATTGCCATATCTGACAAGAGAAACCAAGGTCAGGCGAGTACCTTGTAAGAGGAATATGTAGAAATGTTAGGAATTATCAAAAGAAAAACTCTTGCTCAAATTTTGAATATTTTATCGAAATTCAATGAACTTATTTAAAGTAATTCGTTGTATGATTAAGTAGCGTTTCATTATAATATTATAATTCGAATAGTATAGCTGGGAAAAATGAGGTTTTTATAAACTTTACAAGTTATAATTATGGCTGGTAGAGTACTCCATCCAACTAGCTGCAGAAGGATGAATAAAATTTACATATATATTAGACGAAAGCCCGCGCTTAACTGTTTCTCTCCCATAAATATATTAATACTAATGAAATTTGCGTGTTTATTTATTTCATTTACAACCCTTAAGATAATTTAAATAAAGTAGTGGAACTCTTTTTTCTTAGTGTTCATTTAAATATTAGTTTTGCTGCATTAGGGGTAGGTAAGGCCATTCTTTTCTAACCCAATTCACCATCTCTCAAATAAAACCCAGATTCAAACCCTTAATTGGAAAGTTTATAAGCTTATGCTAGTAACTTACAGATGCCTTTATTACATTTCACTCATAAACAGATAATGATATGAATATTTATTTAACATATTTAGAGTATTTATAAATACCATTAAATGCCATCAATATTTGAACCAATTAAAGGAAAATGGGACAGAAGTCGCTTTCCAATGGATACCAGGCCATTGCGGGCTCCACGGAAATGATGAAGCCGATAAACTGGCCAGAATAGGTTCTGGAATGATCCAACCCGATATTCCTCTGACCATGGAGTCAACAAAAAGAATCATAAAGCAGACCCTCCAAAGTTCACTGAACGCGAAATATGCACAAATAATTGAAGGGAAACAATGGAGTGGATTGCTGGAAGAAAGTGGCAGGATTCCTAGAGACCTCCCTAGAGGGCAAGCCGTGGCATGCTTTAGAATGCTGACAGGCCACGATTTCCTTCAGAAGCACCTCCACCGCATCGGTGTAAAAGATAGCCCGACATGCCCTCTATGTTCCTTAGACATAATGGCAGGAGAACATCTGGATACATGCCCTGCATTACAGGACATAAGATGTTGCTTTAATGAAATGGACAGCTATTATACACGGAGAGCAAAGTTGTACTGGACTGCAAGAGCACGCATGGCTAACGAAGCAGGCGTTACTTAGGCGTAGGAAAAAAAAAAAAAAAAAAAAAAAAATTTATAAATACAAATATTGTAAAGTTATTAAACGGAAAAAAGAATTCAATATCTGAGATCAATCCGTTTCTCTTGAATTATAAACTTATATGGCAAGAAGACTTTTTATAAAAAATTAACATTGGAATGTTCGTAATTTCTTTTTTGTTTTGCAAAGGTTACTTTTCCTCCTAGTGTAATTGTTTTGTGAATACGCACCCGCACGCTACCTAGCGGTAGGTTGCAAAAACACAGATAACCTTCGTAGAATTTTAGATCGACTCGGAATTCCAGCAATTGTGTTGCATAGTTGGTAGTAAACATTATTTGTCTTTTTGATCCGGTTGGAAACCTCCCCATCAATCTTTCCATCCCTGCTGATGACTGTACCTAGGTAGGTATATTCCTCAGTCTTCTCTAGGATTTCTCCTCTGCATCGGATCTCCACATTTTCTTCATTTCGTCCTATAAACATTACCTTGCTCTTATTTGCATTGAGCATCTTGCAAATCCTTCCTATCCGGCTCAGCTTCCCATTCTATGATTGTTTGCTGCAGATTTTCTTTTGTATCTGTTATGAGAACAATTTCATCTCCAAAAACCATAGCTTGAGCAATTATTGTCCTCATATTCCACTTTCCAACAACTGTTCGTGCTATCCTCATCATGCATATTTTTAGAATTTCATCCATGAATATAATGAACAGTAGAGGACTAAGACTGTCTCCTTGTTTTAATCCTTTTTTCATTTCGAAAGGTTCGGATTCTTTTCCATTTATTCTTAGATAGATATAAAGTAAACTTTATTCTGGGACAAGGTCCCTTATGAATAACATATATAAACAAAAAAAATAAAAACTACATCTGGCCAAAAATTACATTAATCAATATTAAAGAATATATACAGTATCTTCAGTGAAATTAAATTAAAACAAGTAAAAATAAAATAAAATTTTGAGAGAAAACGAAATAAAAAAAAAAACATTATTTAAATGTAAATAAAAATAAAATAAAAGAAGCATGGGTTAATTTTTAAAATTAAGACTCAATAAATTTTATCAACCATTTACCTCAGTCAAAATCTGTTTCACAATATTTATTTTATTGTATAACGTCATTTTGGGATGTGAGAAGGAATTGGTACAGATGATATTTAAATGAGGACAAGGAAGAGGCATGGCGGATTTCAGATGGCAAGGAATTCCAGAAGGCTGTGGATCGGTAAATAAAGGAATATTCAAACGTCCTAGTTCTATGGGAAGGAAAATAAAGGTCGGAAACAATCTTGTCAACACGGAATCTTGTTTTCTGGGAGTGGACCACGGGTTTAAACTGTAGGAGACTGTAGATGTAAGAAGGGTGTCTGGTGTTGATTGTTTGGTATAGGAAAGATCCGAGGAAATATTGTCTGCGGAAAGAAGGGAAGAGCCACTTTAACTCGTCGTAAAGGTGGGACACATGAGATCGCCTTGATGTACCGAAGACAAATCTTAAGCACGTATTCATGAGTCGCTTCAATCTATCCTCGAGTACCATCGGGATGCCTCAAAGTGGCCGTAGTCAAAGTGGGGGAAAATGAGAGAGGATACAAGGAGCTTGCCGATGGGTTGTGGGAGTAGGTGGCGGGAGCGATAAAATAGCTTAAGGGTACCTATTGACTTACGGGAGATGAGGGCGATATGGGGTTTCCAGGAGAGGTTTTCGTCTATGGTGATTCCTAGGTTTTTAACGGATGAACTGAGTGTGACAGGATGATCGTTGATGACTAAAGGAGGAAGGAAGGAGATGGATTTAAGAATAGGACTGGAACCTATAATGATGGCCTGAGTTTTCATCGCATTTAGATTTAAATTAGGCGAACGCGACTAGTAGCTCAGAAGGATGAAAGGAAAAATATATTTGGGTGTCATCAGCTTATAAATGATGTGAACAGTGGTAGATGGATTTGGAAAGATCATTTATGTAGGAATTGAAAAGGAGAGGGGAAATGCTCGAACCCTGGAACAATGCCACTCCAGAGGACAATGTAAGAAAGGAAGATAGGAGTTGGTTTGGAATACTGACTGCTTGAGTTCTGTCGGATAGGAAAGACTGCAACCAGAGGATAGAGCTGTTGGAGAAGGATAGAGATTTTAATTTAGTATAGAATATAGAGTGGTCTAAGGAATCAAAAGCTTTGGAAAAGTCGAGAAGTATTAACACAGTTAACATTTTTTCGTCCATTGCGGTATGTAAGTCATTGGTAATTTTTAGTAGGGCGGATTGTGTGGATAAGCCAGGTCGGAAACCAGATTGGAGAGGATCGATTAGTTTTGAGTTTTCGAGGAATTTAGAGATTTGGGATTGAGCTATTCTTTCCAGAGGTTTAGAAAGGTTAGAAAGAATGGAGATTGGGCGGTAGTCTTTTTTAGGAGAGGTAGGATTGGGAATTTTGTTGATAGGTCTGACTAATGCTTGTTTCCAAGCAGTTGGAAAAACTGAGTTCTGGAGGGAAAAACTATAGATGAAAAGGCGAACTGGAACGACTTCGGGAAGGCATAATTTTAACAGTTTGACTGGTATCCCATCAATTCCGATGGAGTTTGTGTGTGATTTCATTAGAGAGGAAATAAGGTCGGCCGGTGAAATGTTGGAGAAATAGAAATTATCACTGTTAAATGAGGGTGATAAGGGAAACTGGAGAGACATGAAAGTTCTTCGACTACTGACCTAAGATTTTCAAAGCACACAGTGTGCGGGTTTAGGTTCGAGATGGTCCTTGAAGAGGTCGCAGCTCGAGATTTCTTACCTGAACTCGAATTTGTAACAGACATTCCCGATTGGGGCAGGAATCCGTGGTAATCATGTCCACCTATAGACAAGTTGCCAAAGGCCGATAGAACGGCTACTACTGGTGTAAAGTGCCTGTCGTGCGAAGCCATCTTGATATCAAAACCATAGAATGGTGGAGCGTCAAAACGCATTTCAGACGCATAGGGATGATGTTGGTGTCCCATTGGTGTCGTCTTTTGTCTAATAATAGCGTTCTGTGCTAACGCTACTCTATACATCTGATGGACGGTGATACCTATAAACGGTTTTCGCTCATGAGCAAAAGTTGCTGATTGTTGAAGGGCGAATCCAATTCCCCGAGTCGTTTGTGGTATTGTTGCTGTTACTGGTTGTGGCGTATGGTTAAAGTTTGGAAATTTTGTTGTTATAGAAATTAAATGTGAAAATAATGCTTGGTCGAGTCTAGCGTCATTAGCTGCCATGGCCTTAGCTCCGGCTGCTCTTCTGAACTGATCATCGTGTGCCGATTTTGAACCTCTGTCGCGATACTTGGGTTTGTTCCCTTTAGGAGGGTTCGAAGTCGAAGGGGCTTCCTTCACTTCAGTCGACTGCGCTGCTGCGGTCGTGCTCGTTGCATTCTCCGCCATTGTTATGATAGGTTTTAGAAATTTGTAGAAACTACAAAAGTTCCGACTAGCAAAAATATGCGTGTCAAAACCTTGCATTCTTATTAAGGCCTTTGTGTTGCGATACGTGAATTTTATAGCATCTATTAGTTTATTGGGTACATTTTTTTACGGCTAAAGCTGCCCATATTTCTTGCATATGGACCGAATCAAATGCCGCCTTGATATCAAGAAAAGCTAGACACACGCTGTTCCCTAGTTCCAATGCCTTTTCAATGATAGTCCTGAGGGAGAATACGTGGTCCTCGGTCTGGCGGTGTGGTCTGAATGCTGCCTGCTCTTTATCGTGGTTTCCTTCTATGATTTCTCTCATCACTTGCCTAAATGCCAAAGTAAAGGTAGTTGCCAAGTTTGTGCCAGAAATAATCATCATACCATGTTTCACCCTGATAAAAATGCGGCAAACACTTAGCCCTCCCAGTCTCAAGTGTGAACCACCGCTGTCTCTGGATCAATTTTCTCATGCAGTTTCGTGTCATGCTACCACCTACTCACAGATACTACTGGGTACAGCATTGGGTAGGATCTTTTCAAGTTCTGGTCAGTGGTATTCCTCTAGAATGGTAGTAGATCCGGGTTCCCAGACTAATTTAATTACCACTGACCTAATGAAAAAGCTATGCCTTCGTTCCCGGATTAGTCCTCTGGTGGTGTCTGGAGGAGGTAAGTCCATTTCTTTTTCTTCTGCTAAAGTTAGGTTCGGTGAGAAATAACCATACCTATGAATTTACAGCGAGAGTATTGCCTTGCATTAGTGGAAGTTTGCCTTATTTTTCTGTATCTCCAAAAGTACAGAATCGGTTTGTTTTGCTTGCACTTGCCAAATTTACAGTCTTATTTAATGGTTCACAGAAGATTGTTGAGGGGTTGGGGAGGGGGATAGATTCTCTTAATGATCTGTTTTAGACCGGTATGCAGCTCCAGACTGGTATTGCTGAACTTACATCATTTTCGTACTTTTCCTTTTGCCTTAACATGTGATATAAAATAAATGTTTGGTGTATCCGCATTGCCGAGACTGGCCAAAATTTGTTTAGTTATTTTTGGAGAGGTGAAACTGCCCAACCGACCTAGAAGTATGAGTTGGTTACCCTTCCATTTGGTTTGGAATATTTTTCTTTTGTTACTTGTCATTTTATAGTTGTTTCTGGAGGAAGACAAAATATTCCTAAAGCTGTCCAGTGTAAATCCATTGTGCCTAGATGGAAATTCCTTAACAATAAGATTTTTGGTTTATATTGGGATCCTAAACTTGATAATTTCTGATATTCTATCCAAGAGAGTGAGCTTATTTATACTAAAAGAGATATTTTGTCATTTAATGCCAAAATATTTTATATAAATGCATATATCAGTCCTGTGATAGGTTGGGTAAAGTGTATAATACAACATTTGTGGTTATGTTAAGTTAATTGGGATGATCAGTTGCTCTCTTGTGTTTCATCTTTGTCAAAGGTTTTCCTTGAAGAATTGCGATGTTTAAGTGTTTTGGCTGCCTCGTTGTGTTGTTAGTCAGTAGGCATCATTCATGCATACATCGACCCATGTATCCATCCATACATCGACTACACGTACTCAAGGGATGAACGCTGTCCCAGGATAGCGAAGCTGATAGTATAGTTAAACGCACCAAGTTATACCCGCCTGGTAACGACTTATGACCATCATGTGACATTTGGGACGTACGTCTGGCCGTGAAGAAGTAGATGATTGGCAAAGCTCCAGGATTTACTGCCTAGACGCTGCGATCCTCAAGAAAAGTACTCCTTACAAAGAAGAGGAACTAATCAAGATCATAAATGAATGTTTCGAAAAGGAGTATTTCCCAAGCAAGTAGAGGATCACAGACATGAGACTGCTCTACAAGGGAGGTGGTAAGGATAAGGAATCTCCTTAGGCTTATCGGCCTATCCCTCTTCTCCCAGTCGTCAGCAAAGTCCTGGAGTAAATTATTGCCGTTAGACCGATCCTTAGTACTTCTAGCCATCCACGGCAGTTCGGCTCGACCTGTGCCAAGGGAGCCACAGATGCACTGCTGAGAGTGCGCAGGGATGTTAAGGGATGGGCAAAGAAGAACTTTCTTCTGATACTGTTCGATATATCATCCGCCTTAGTCATTTTATGGTGGCCTTGCTTACTCCAGTAGTTGGAAGAGCTCTACCGTACCAATAGCAACAACCTTTATTTCCTGGCAGATAGCTATCTCAGTAACAGAAACGTCAGGAATGGGGATAGCTTCTACGACTTGGAAAGTATAGAGAGGGGCTGTCCGCAGGGCTCAGCTCTCAAAACTCGTACAACCTGTGAAATATAGCTATATATATATATATATATATATATATATATATATATATATATATATATATATATATATATATATATATATATCAATTTCAAACCAAATGGCAAGGTAACTAACTCATATTCCTGGATCGGCATAGAAGATTCAGCGCTAAAAAAAAAAGTAACGAATTTTGGTCATCTTCTTCAATGCGGATACACCTAATCGTCATTCTTATATCACTTATTAAGGCAACAGGAAAAGTACGAGAATGATCTATTAGTTCAGTAATTTCAGTCTGGAGTTGCGGACCGGCAATAAGCAGATCAGAGAATCTCCTCCCTCCTCCCCCCCTGCCATCTTCTCTGAACCATTAAATACAACTCATTGGTAATCGTAGGATCTTTAATGACTCCTTGATTGGTCATGACATAAGAAGGTGGAGTCAAGATCAACAGGCTAATTAGGTCGAAAAGGAAGTGAAACGACAAATCCACTCTGAAGATCTCAAGTGAATGTATTTTTAAAATGATCTTCGCAAAACGAATCTTCTGGATTCGGTGGAATAGGAACTGTGTCCTCTTCAGTCTCCCAAAATCGTTTTAATTCGTTTCTAGGGGTTGGCCTGAGTAAAAAATTATCAGCATTGCACTTAATAGAAGAAATGAACTGGGAAGCAAGATACACTAGTAGAGATTTGAGGTAGGAAAATCTAACTATATCACTGTAATTTTTAGTATAAATAAGGGCATCAAATAAAGGTTAAAAAAAAGGAAGCTGTTCATATTAAAAATGAGGAATCTGTAATTCGGGAAATTCAGGATGCGCAATGGGCAGACACACTTTGTCGTGAAGCGGGACCTCTAACATGCTCAGATTTAAATAATTTATCATGGGCTAACTTTATTTCCTAATAATGCTTCTCAGCTACTAAAGATAATGAATCCACATTCATCCTATTCTCCTTTACTGATCCATTGACCCCAGAAAATTTGGTTTAAAGCATCAAATTCCTCAAGTTGGGATTTAGTTTTTGAGGCCCTAGCAAGAAAAGCTTCCTTTTTAGCAGGAAGGCGCTTAATTCAATCAAATATAGTTTAAATCCTACGAAATAGCCTCTCTTTTTTAGAATTGAGAGGTATCAGTACTTCAGTACCCTTAGTAGGCGCTAAACTATATTTAATTTATGTAGGAACAGGAAATTTATTGCAAAGGAGAGGTACTCGAAATGGTGGAGGACTTCACATATCTAGGTGCAGTAATAAACAAGAACGGAAGGGTTGACCATGAAATTTCCAACAGGATTAAAAAGGCCAATGATGTGTATTACAGCTTATGCAATACAGTCATTGGGAAAAGCGAGGTAGAGAGGAATGTAAAAATGCATATTGTAAAGCGGTATATCTACCAACCCTTATATATGGGAGTGAAAGTTGGGTCCCATTAACCAAACACCTTAGCGGAGTTACTGCTTGTGAAATGAAATATCTTCGAAGGGTAGCTGGCAGAACCAGGAGAGACCGGATCAGGAATGAAAAAACAAAAGACGACCTAGGCACTGTCTCACTAAAGAATTCAATAGAAAAGAGGCAGCTGAGATGGTTCGGGCTTGTATGAAAATTCATGGAGGCGAGATCTGTAGGAAAGCGCCCAAGAGGAAGACCCAGATTGTCGTGGATGGAGTACATCTCCCAGATCGGGCAGAAAAGAGGTATGAGGATAGGAGATATGAGGGCTCTAGCTCGGGGCCGAAATGCTTGGGATGCATGGATCGAGGCACCTCCACGCTAAAAGGTACAAAGGAGGTAGAGAAAGAAGAGGAAGAAGAAGAAAGAACAGTAAAAGCTTTCTTTAAAAGAAATGTTAAAAGAGAAGTAAAGCAGATTAAATCAAGCAGGGGATTGACAAAAGGACTTAATTCAGCAAGTCACTATGTGCTTTTTCCTGCAAATTCCTAGAACCTAACCACAAGTCTTCAAACACAGTATTCAATATTCTTATATCTTGACATCTTCAAATACATATTTAAAACACATAGCGAATTAAAAACGCAAACAATAAAGAATAGAAATACATTTTTTACTTAGGAAATAGACAAATATTGGCAAAAGTATACTAATCCCTCTTATATCTTGCCAGGCAATTTTCCTTCCTCACAGGCGGCAAATATCGCAAATAAAGAGAAATTAAGCTATTATCGTGTCCGGTGGACCAATTTGTTTAGGAAATAAACTAATTATTGGCAAAAAATTAATGTAAAAATTGAACGTCAGGAAAGGTACGTATTAAATTTTAAGTGGACTGTATTAAAGGCACGGGGGAGGCATATGCAATATAGAAAAGAGGGGCACTAACTGCTTTTGATGGATGGACGGCGCACTGTTTCGTGCTCAATTGCTCAAGTATGGTTGAGGAGTGGCCGAACATAACTGGTTCCTCGGCAGTTTATCTAGAGTTTTTTGGCAACCTACCGCTAGGTAGAGTGCGAAATAATATTAGATAAGTGAATTCTATTAATGATGTTCAATTTTATGTTATTTTTATATCTTAACTATAACTTCCGTGTCAGACAATGTACTAATAGTTTTTTTACTACTATTGTGAAGTATTATGTTAAAATTTTCACCTAAGGACAATAAATTGGGTATTTGATTTGGTATGCCCACCTTATTTAAATTGATTACTCTATTACTTTTATTCACGTTACGGAAGTAATAAATAATGCTCCTATAGCTTAAAACTCCATTAACAATGTAAATTGTATTTATATAATTCGAATTAAATGACAATTTTTGTTTTGTGTTAATAGTGGAATAGTATGGTTTCCTGATTTATGGTTTGTATATTTATTTTATAACTAACTCTTTCATTCTGGTAAAATAAAATATTATCGAAAAATTCCTCTAAATGCTTCTTTAGGCGTTGTATTAATGTTTTTTCAAATAAAACATTTTGAAAAACATGTTTTCCTTTTCATTTTAGCTGTGCAATTTCCAGTGCGTTAGCTTTATTTTTAGCTTTAAGATGTTAGTTATTTATATTATTATAATTATCACCATTGACTCCTTGTGGGGCATAGGGCATTTAGATTGTGTTCCACTCCGCTCTTTTTGCAAAAATACTATTTGCTTCTGCCCTGTCCAGGTCATTTTTACATTTTTCTGCAATGTCTCTCTAGGTCTTCTTTTATCACTTGTTTCTTAGATATTCCATTGCAAACCTTCTTTCTCGATAGCACTTTCTGTTTTCCTCAAATTGTACCCTATCCATATAGACATAATACTTATGATGTTAGGTTTACAACTGTTACAAAAATTAGTGTTAAACCTTTTACAAATTTTCCACTTAAATTAATAAATGTTTTTATGAATGAGATGAATAAAATGAAAAATAAAAATGGTGGAATAAACACAGCCAAACCTTATATTATGAATTACATTTTCATTTTATACCAAAAAAATAAATATAAGAATTATTATTTTTTTTTCTCGCACAATATTCGCTTTACTTAAGTTAGATAAGGTACGACAGTACGCTGGTAGGTGTCTACACGTGGCAGATAACGTGACAATAGCTGTGAGGTCCGGGACAGGTACTGTGAAGTATCACGCAAAACCTGTCAGACCAACATTGCGGTAAAGCCAGATATCGTTATAATGTCGCACAGTTCACACGATGCCTTTACGAAAGTTACTGTCATGACAGTGGATGTGGAAAGTGGTGAAATAAATGTGACAGTTGCCACTTTGAGGGCCCTTTCTATCATGACCGTGTATATGACAGATGCTAACTTGTCCATTGCTGCGACAGTGGCGACCATGAATGCGACTGTCACGGTAAATCCTGAAATGAAGGCTCCAGTGCTTCATAAGTCTTATTGTTCGAGAAAAAGAGAGTTATATAAAACATGAATGGTACATAATCATTACTACATTTCGTTGTAAAATATAGATACTTTGAACAATTCATATCTGAATGCTTCCATCATTACAATTATCTTTTTTCTGACCAATTAAAACATATTTTTATTATGTGGTTATTCAGTCAGCAAAGAAAAGGACTGGCATGATGATATTATCGCCCGTGATCGATTATTGGAAACATTTTATCATAAGGAGAAGCTTAAGTAACCGAAATAAAAAAATCAGATGTATAGTTTGATCGATACAAGGCTAAGTTAGTTAAGTGCAATCCTAAGCAGTCCCTTGTTTTACAATCATTGAGAAAGTGGTGAGACCTGAGAAAGATACAGAAAATGATTAGTGGGGCTGTGTTTAATTTTCTTTATATCTTTGTAGCTCTTATAGCTTTGGTTATTGTTTGGTCACAATAATTTGGTGCGAGCCAAATATTACCTATTGGCCTATAATTGAGTGATAGTGCGCTGGTTATTGTAAGAATTGGTTTGGATTCTATGAGGTTGGATCACTGAAATTTTAACATGTATAAATTCAACAAATGACTCAAAACATTATTAAATTGTATGTAATGGATGTAAATAGAAAAAATAAAATTTGTACGATTTTGTTGATCTTAAAAGATGAAGTAAATATTGCTGATAAATTTACAATTTTGTAGTATGGCATTGCCATGTTGGAAGTAATTTTGCTTCAGACTTAAATTATATGGTTAATTTGGACAAACTTTGTGTCTGAAATTAAGCTTCATTTCTTGGCCTCCTCTTCTTCCTCCACATATTTCCTTCACCAGGCTGTTACCTCGGTATTTAGAAACTCATTTTTTTTTTCTGTTATAATTTCTGGTGGAAAAAATAAATGAGAGTGTGCACAATTTACCAATGACTGGGATTAAATGGAGGCCAATAAAATGGTGGTGAAGTCCAGGATTATGAAAGTGTTTTCTTCATTTTTTTCAATGTTTCAGGGGTTGATCCTTGAACAGTTAAAATAAAATTAATTAATAATATTTTTTCATATTAATATCTCAACTTAAAGAATTATATTAATCATATATTATATAATATATATAGTTATATTATATTAATAGAAATTAGTACGACAAGAGTCCATTATTGGCTAGCTCCAGTTAAACAGATTGTCCCAAGATTTTCCTTCGAATGCGCCGTTCATATCGTGTAGATGTTATGATATCTTAGTTACCGCAATTTATGAGCAATTAATGGTGAAAGAAACCAAATACCACCCAATATGTTTGTTTTTAAAGAGAAATTGGTGAAATAAATGTGAAAACTTTAGTAGGAAAACTTTAGTACTTTAGTGGTAAAGGAAATTAGAGCTACACCTTAGACCTTAAGAGCTACAAAAAAGTTCATTTAAGCAATGGGCCAATTTTCAGCGGAAAAGTAGGAAATCCAAATTTTTTTTTTTTTAAGTGTCATGTTTTGTTTTGTTTTTTTAATAGGAAGCGAGTTAGTCACTTAACGATTACGGATCAATTCCTACAATAGAGATGTGGGAGAAAAACACAATTTCATAACCACTTTATCTAAAACATGTTTAACACACCATTATTTTTTAAACAAAAATTAACATCTCAAAAATAAAATTTATAATGATTGGGAGAAGAAGTGACCAAGGAGACCGGATCGTTCGGCTGTAGTGTTGCCCAAAATCGGTCTTGGTCTTGCACTTTGCAAGACCAAGACCAAGGCCGCCTAACTGTTGCAAGACCAAGACCAGAACTGGTAAAAAAAAATCGATTTTTAAAATAAGACTTAAGGAAAAATAGTTACTAATAGTGGACAATATTAGTTACTATATGTTAATAACCAATTTACTTTTGCATTTAACTCCTCTAATTTTTCATTCGGGCTTAGTTAGATTTCTCCCATCTAAGAAATTGCAGTAATATCTCTATAGTAATAAGCTAATAAGTAACTGCAAGACTATTGCGAGAATCTTGCGCAAGACCAAGACTCGTCTTTGTCTCGCATTTGGGCAACACTATTCGGCTGGGGCAACACTATTCTATATATATATATATATATATATATATATATATATATTTTTTTTTTTTTCGGTTGGCACTACAAACCTTGAAGATCTTTGGCCGCGAGATGTGGTCTCCTTACAGATATATCCTTATGGTTACCATGGTGCAGCGACAGGCCACCCGTAGCTCCATAGCCGATCCCTTTGGGGCCAATCTGGCAGTGGCCTTCCCACCGACTCACTGACAAATCGGTCTAGATCCATGGATTATGACTGTTCGGAGTCAGCAGGCGCACGAGGACCTATATTTCTTTCCCTTAAACAGACTGTCCATGGACCGAACCTCAGGGCGGCTACTAACATCATGGTAGACCACATCCCGATTCCCGATTAAGTACACGGAGTAGAGTCATCAATCCTACGCCTGCTCTGTGCGAGTTGCCTCCAGTAGGATGACGGGTCTCAGCAGCATGGTTTTTTTTTTCCTGCTGGACGGTCACCCAAATCGGGCGGTCATCCAACTACTTACCACGCTCGACGTTGCTGAACTTTGATTACCTATAGCAAACGACTTAGCCCGTACGGCTACCCCAATCCCCATATATATATATATATATATATATATATATATATATTATATATAATATATATATATAATATATATGTGTGTGTGAAAATTGTATTTAGGCAATTTTTAAACAGAACATAGCTTAGTTTAGTGGCTCAAAAGTCCTCTTTAAATGGTTTCAAGAATGGAAAACTCTTTTTTCGTTTAAAGTAAATTTTATCTAGTTTACAATGAAGTAATCCTATTCAACAATAAACATAACTTTCTTTTAAAAATAGAAAACTTAGATTTCCTTCTTTTCTGCTAAAAATTGGATTATTGTTTATATTATTTTTTTGTATCTTTTAAGGTCTGTCATCACTCCTATAGAAATTTGTCTCTACTTACAAGACACCCTATATATTAGCTATTCATTAATAATTGAGCATTACTCTGCTAACACCGAGGTCAAATTTAAGAGGTCGTCTCCTGAAAACCT